CATCCCTTCAAAATTTTCAGTTGTTGACACTGTTGGAATGTCTAATATTTCTCCGTGCCATGTCCATACTGTATAACTCTTCACAATACCATATATAAACAGGTGATCACGTATTTCTCCAACTTCTTGACGTATCTGATTCAAACATCGAACACATGGACAATAATATGCCCCTTTGATGGGTTTCCCATTTTCTCTTGCAAATTGTAAGAACTCTTCAACTCCATTTCTGTACTCTTGACTAATGCGACTTGCATTCATCCAACTTCGATTCATTATCTATATATTAACACAAATTAACTATTGACTCAGTTATTCATAATTTTTTTAACCTAAACTACAACCCTAAAAAATCGATGGTAAACTAAAGGTCAATGCCTAAAAAAGTCTCTTCTTTAATGCATCTGGAACGGCCGTACTGAAACTAGAACGGGACGTTCCAGATCATCAAATTACAACAAAAAAAATTCCAGCAGAACGGGCCGTTCTCCATGCGGTACGACCCGTACTGCTTGCAGAACGGCCCGTTCTGCAAGGAGAACGGCCCGTTCTGCAAGGAGAACGGCCCGTTCTCCTTGCAGAACGGCCCGTTCCAGAGGAACAAATAGCAAAAAAAAAACAAATAAATTACGGGGACAACAAACTAACCTCAAACGACCAACGTGCTGACACTTACAAACTTGGATACGTTGAATGTAGCCGTAAACGCAGAGGGAGACTCAAGTAATTCAGAGGATTTCGTATAAACTGTGAGCGCGGGAATGAAAATGGGACTTTGGGGGCAATATAGGAGAACTATTACGTCGGATAAGGCGTCGCCGACGTAAATTTACGTCGCCCTTGTTGAACTCCGACGTAAATTTACGTCGGATTTGGGTGGGACCGACGTAAATTTACGTCGGACTACAGGGAACCGACGTAAATTTACGTCGGAATAGTGGTACCCGACGTAAATTAACGTCGGATTGGAGGTACCCGACGTAAATTACCTAATTTACGTCGGTCTAAGAGAGGTCCGACGTAAATTAGTCTCCACTTATTTACGAAACTGCCACCGCGTTTTTACAACGTCGGTGTTTGTGGTTTGCGACGTAAATTGGGTGACGTAAATACCCTTTTTTGCACTAGTGCCAACAATTCATGAAAAAATATTGAATTAATCATTAAAATTCTATATCATAATTAATGATTTAATTAACTATAAAATTATAAAGAACAAAAGTTTATATTATAGAACGACCATACAAACAATTATGTGGAAAGGGTAGCTTGCAAAGAGATGCACTAACCCGAAGATGTGAGTCTCAAGGGTCATCTTATGCTACGTGTTTCTTTTCATTTTCTCTTTTTTTCTATGTCCTATGAATAAGTTAGAATTTGTGACTGTGTGTAATAGAGTTTATTAGTCTTGACCTTTTTAAATAGACCCTAAAGGCCTATTTTCTTTTTTATAAATCATCTTTAAAATAACTTCAAATAAACATCTAGGTCCGTCATATTTTAAAACATATTAATATTTTTAGTATTACTATTATTAGAAAATCTTATTTTAAAGGATGTTACATGGTACAATGGACTTATGCACGAAAACTTATTGAAGCTACAACCTTATAAATTGTTCAATTTAAAGATATATGCAATAATGCAAATAAAAGTTACTTACATAGGAAAATGCTATGAAGCATAAAAGACATGTGATAAATAAAAAAAATAATGCAATAAATATATTAAGTTAGACTGTTTCTTCATTTTCTACCATCACATCAACATTAAAATAGTTAATGTTAATGTTTTAAATCTTTTGGTCTAACGCTGACATTATTTCTTAATTTTTATAACCCTTTAGACATGTTTATATTCAACCAATTATTTCTTATTATCTTTTCTTCTATTTATTTTCATTTCAGAGTTTGAAGGGATCAATCATTTGTGGAAGGAAAAGAAAAAACATAGGCTTGTTGAATGTTTAACTAATATTTTAGTTCAATATGATTTATCATGGCAAATATCTCATAATGATAGCAAAAGGTCAATATTGATTAGAATGCCATATCATCCCTTCAATGTGGCTAAAAGGAGAAGATTAATTGCACATAAGAAGGAAGAAAGGCGCAAAAACGATGAAGATCCTCTATCTGATCGCACATCACTACTTATAGCAGCTAAAACTGGAATTGTAGAAATTGTTGAAAACTTCCTTGATGTGCATCCTGAGGCTATTTCTCATGTTAATGAGGATGGACAGAACATATTGAACATGTAAGGATAAATCAAAAGTGATGGGCCTAACTCTTGTAAATTTTTTTCTTAAAAAGTTATATATATATATATATATATA